TAGATAGATAGATAGATAGATAGATAGATAGATAGATAGATAGATAGATAGATAGATAGATGGACAGCGTGTTTGAATTAGTTTCAAGCTCTCTCGCCTTGAGCTCTCATGATCGGTGGGGATTCCGTCGCCATATGAGCGTACGCCGACCGTAGCGTGACATGCAGAGAATATTATAGTTATCACAAAATTCAAATTCATACACATTTATTGTACATCACAGTAATTTATGCATATTATGATGGCTAACCACATATAAATAATATTTGATGAAAAACGACGTGGTCATGAATTAATTCTGCACAACAAGACAAATTCTCACACTGTAACGCGAGACGCGAGAATCGTGGTAAGCGTGGAAAACCTTTAGAACAAGAGAACAAATGCCATACGCCATTTGTAAATGTATTGTTTTGTTTTATCAGCGGTAGATTTGACGTGATTTTCAAGAACAACACACATTTTATTCATTAATTTATTATAAAATATAATATCACTATAATTGTAATTCTTAGTCTAAATGTGTTATTTTCATTTTAATATTAAAGTTACGAGAGGGTCTGGGCTCTCGTAATGTTATGAGGATATTTGCGAAGATTTTTCGTTCTCGCAACATTACGATGTTTCTGTCAACGGTTTACGAGTGGAAGTTAATGGTAAGACTAATGTTGCGACTAATTTTGTTTCTGACAACGGCCCCCTTACTTTTTCAGCGGAGTCAGCTTATTACTCCAATGTAATACGCACAATGGGGACAACGTAAAGGAAATCAGCCTGTTCTGCTAGCATCTATGACAAATACGATATACGCATATACGCTCTGCTATGACACTATTTGTCATAGGAAGATTCTTCCTATGACAAATATTGTTGTATGTGTTGTGCGCATCATAGGAGTTTAGGAGCGCTATTATGAACGCAAGCAGTGAATTTCAGCTGTAAAGCGGAACGAAGTTGACTCGCCAATATTTGTCCTAGGAAGAATCTTCCTATGACAAATAGTGTCATAGGCGAGCGTATATGCGTATGTCGTATTTGTCATAGATGCTAGCAGACCATGTTGAGGAAATGATAGACGTGGCGTTGGTTATTTCTCTATCCACGTGATTATCGCGAACCAATCAGATGCACGCGAAACCCGATGCTCAAGAGTTTATCCGATAGACATTATCAAATTCCTTTTTGCTACGTAAACGCATGCCGCGTGCATGTGTGAATATTTCGAAAGGTAATAATTATACGAAAAGGTTTTTAGTTTTTATCTTACACCTGATATTTTTGTTATAATGTTACTCCTGATGTCTTGTCATTTTGTTACCCCTGATATATCTCATATCAAGAAATCAATGAGCTTATGCAGCAAGTGTTTTACGATATTGCGGCCTACACACATCACAGTCTATTCGCATCTTCCATCTTCATAGCTTGACGAACACATATACGATATGCGCTACCTGGAATCGTAGGTGCCCCTTTAATTCTATTCTGCGGTCCGTTGTCAGAAACATCGTAATCAATTCTGATACCATAATTCCAAAATGCCGTCGCGTTTGCACGTTAAGCGCTTTTGCAAATGGTACGATAGCTTGATCTCGCGACAGTCACACAGATTCACTGTTTCTGACAACGCACCGCACCACTATAAGACGAACCGATGAGGATTCGCGTGGCTGTGCGTGCGTGTATATAACCACAGTATCGGCCCCGCAGCCCCTGCTAGCACACGCACCACGGAGAGCGGGGTCCTCGGCCACCAGGTAACCGGCCGCGTGGCTCCACATTGTTAGCATTATGTCGGAACTGTGCCGTCGTCATGGTAACCTGGAAAACGAACGTATCTCGTCACCTAGATGCGCGAGTCAAGCGGGCGATGATCTCTAGATGAAGGGCAGAGGAGACAGGGGAGGGCGAGAGAGAGAGAGAAAGATGAAGAGAGAGAGAGAGAGAGAGAGAGAGAGAGAGAGAGAGAGAGAGAGAGAGAGAGAGAGAGTCGTGTTTTACTTACATGGACAGGTAGATAGTGACGTGTTTAGCTTACATGGACAGGTAGATAGTGACGTGTTTAATTACATGGAAGGTAGATAGTGACGTGTTTTACTTACCTGGACAGGTAGGAAGTGACGTGAATAGCTTACCTAGAGAGATCGATGCAGAGGTCGTAGCCAGATACAAGCGTCTCTTCGCTAAAGCCACCGAGACGGATGAACGCTTGTCGCATGCTTCCACTGCAACGACCATACACAACCCCGCCGCTTTACAATTACACGAATAGCAAGATAATAGCACATCTACGATCTAGTAAGTAAGTAATTAAGTAAGTTAGTTAGTAAGGGAGTAAGTAAGTAAGTAAGTAAATAAGTAAGTAAATAAGTAAGTAAGTAAGTAAAGTAAGTAAGTAAGGAAGTAAGGAAGTATGTAAGTAAATAGTTAGGTAGACAAGTAAGAACTTTATGTAACGACGGTCAAACAAGTTAGGTGCAGACAATAAACGGACACAGACCTATAAACTGACACATGGCATGGCCATATATGAGTACACACAACGCATATTTAGTCTACCTGCTGCGAAACGATGCGCCTAATTCTAACACATCATTCCTATCTCTTCTCGTGCCAGAAGCGATTACAGACAGCAATATTGTAGCAGTATTAGATTATATATCTATTATTGATCTAGATGGAGCGACAATAGTTAATAATATCAGTTTAGTATTTAACTGACATAACTCGTCATAATGTAAATTCCACATATTATAAGTTGGCTGCTATGCACATAGAATTTAGTAGTGGTGCGCGATTCTACTAACCTGGCGTTAAACTGAGGTGATGTTTCAGTGATTAAACGCTTAATTAGGTTAATTTTGTTCGATTGTCTGTCATTGGAGCGAACTCTATGCGAAGCGAGAGTAGTTACATAGCGCGCTAGTGATAGAGAGCTAGGCGGCCACGACAGACACCCCCAACACACACACACACACACACACACACACACACACACACACACACACACACACACACACACACAC